AACTGGGTTGTTTTTATTTGCAGATGATACTAAAATGATCAAGATGATAGTTAACAAAGCTGATTGTGACGAACTTCAAAAAGATCTCACAAAATGATGTGACTGGGTAACAAAAAATAGCAGATGAATTTTAATGCTGATAAATGCAAAGTAATGAACATTGGAAAACATTCCAACTATATAAATATAAATAAAAAATAATGGGGAGTTGTGAGGGACAGGAACAGTGCTGGCCAGCATCAGTGACTAAAGGGTTTAACTCAGGTAGCAGTGGGGTTGGCAGGGAGGCACAAAAACTAATGGGATACAGTGCTGAACTCTGAATTGTATAAAATACCTTGCCAGCTTTCTTTGTGAGGGGAGTTAAATCAGGAATTGAGACACGCAGAATGATTTAAACCCAGGCAGGACTACCATGCTTCCAAGGAATTCAGGGCATGGAAGTGAACTCAACTAGGAAGGGATCGTGAGTAAATAAAAGGAAAATGTGTATTTATTCTCCATCAGGGCATTTTTCTTCGTTTTGGTTGTTTGGTTAAACTTTGTGTGAATCTATGCCTTCTCTCCCCCATTAATTATCTAAGAGAGTACCCACAGATGTTCTTGGTGTTGTAAATTGTTTTACTCAATTCTGTTATACCTAGCAACCAAGTATGTTTTATTAAGTATATCTCTTTGTTTTGCTAATAAAATTACCTCTTTTAAGGCGATGATTTGATGCTTGTGTTCTGGAAAGAAACAGAAGGTCTCTGTGTGCGTCTGCCTAGCCTTGGAGGTCCGCTATCAGAGAGAGAGAGTTTGTTTTTCTGTGCTTTCTGCTTCTTTTTTCAAGCTCTCTTGAGGCAAAAGAGCTTAGGGTATCCGGGGGAAGGAATTCAAGTGTTCCTTCTTGTTTCTTGAGGGTTAAATGACTTGATGGTGGCAGATACCTTGCATAGTCAGTAAATCTGTGACTGGGGAGCTGTTGTAAGCAGAGCCTAAAGAGACAAGGTATTTAAGGTCCCTTGCGGACCCCCATTTTCTGCACTCCGAGTGCCAGAGTGGGGAACAGCCCTGACAGGAGTAAATTAACTGTTGTCAATAGGGATGTTAAATATTGGTCGATTGAAAAGTTGAATAACTTCCATGAATTCTTATTGGTTAGTCCAACTATTCTGTGGCCCTGGAGGTGGGGCTGGCAGCCAAAGCACTCCGGCTTCACTCCAGAGGAGCCCCCTGCCGCTTCATGCTGCTGCCTCTCAATCAGAGGCAACAGTGCAGGGTGCTAGGTGGGAGCTGGTCTGCGAGGGGAGACAGTTTAAAAACCAGCTTCCCTCTCAGACTGGCAGTTGAGAGAGGCAGCAGTGTGGAGTAGCAGCAGCCCCTATCTGGAGTGGCTTGTCTGAGCTCCCAGATCTGGCATGAGCTGCAGCTGAGCCGGACTGCCTACCTGCCCTCCCAACTCCTAATACATTTTAAATGCAGAGCTGCAGCTGGGGTAGATCCTGGACCCGTCACAAGCCAGGACTGAGCCTGGCTGCTGGCCAGCCTGCTAAGAAATGTACTGGGCCGGGGAGGGAAATGTGTGTAGTCTATAGCATTAACATGACAGCTTTTGCTTACAGGTTAATTGACTACACTATTACATCCCTAGTTACCACTTGAGAGCGAGATCTTCAAGTCATTGTGGATAGTTCTCTGAAAACATCCACTCAATGAGCAGCAGCAGTGAAAAAGGAAGAGTGTTAGGAATACTTATAAAAAGAATAGAGACAAAGACACAGATTATTTTATTGCCTCTATAGAAATCCATGGTACGCCCACATCTTGAATACTACGTGCCGATGTTGTCGCCTTATCTAAAAAGGATATCTTGGCATTGGGAAAAGTTCAGAAAAGGGTAACAAACATGATTAGGAGTATGGAACAACTGCCATACAAGGAGAGATTAATTATGTTGGGACTTTTCAGGTTAGAAAAGAGGAGACTAACACCTGGTCTACGCTGTACTTAGCTGCATTAGGATGATTTTTTTTTAAAAAAGAATGAGTCCACATCACCACACCTGTTCGTTTTACTTTGTGCCATTAGTCTGTTTTTCTACTTCTGCTGTCACGAGGAGTAATTGCTAAATTTGATTTCAGATGGTTGACTTTTTGACAGTGCAGACACAGCGCTTTGAAAGTCAGTATTCCTGGCTTCTGGAAGGTGTCCTGCTCTTGCCACAACTTTGAACTCTGCTTCTCTCCAAGCAAACAGGAGAAGTCCAGGAAAATTTGAATTTCATTTCTTTTGTGGCCAGCATGGCGGGCAGACTTCAGAGCGAGCAACACACCTGAGCAGCATACTTGACCATGAGTTCCCAGGGTGGGTCACTGACGAGCATCAGCATGGAGGGTTCAGGAGATCTTGTCCTCGTTGCTGTGGTGGGAGAGGACTCTGTTCTCACAGAACTATGAACCAGCAAAGGAAATGCTGATACCTATGCCAAGATCGCAAAGGGCATGCAGAAGAAAGGATACACTAGGGACACCCGGCAGTGCTGCATGATAATAAAGGAGTTGAGGCAGTTGTACCAAAAGACAAAGGAGGCAAAAGGATGATCTGGAGCATCACCGGAAACATGTCACTTATATGAGCAACTGCATGCGATCCTAGGGGAGGACCCAACCAGCTTTCTTAGTCAGTCTATGGATTCTTTTTAAGACAGTGCTCTAGTAGCCTCAGGCAGCAATGTGCAGGAGGAAGAGGAGAATGGTCAGCAGGCAAATGGGGCAACAGATGTCACTGAGCACCAAGAGCGTTTTATAATTTTGGAGACCATCCCCTTCTCCCAGGATGTCTCAAGTTTTGATACTGATCCTGGGGAGGGCACTTCTGGTGAGTTTGCCATAACCCACTTTTTACATAAAAAAGTAATCAGATTTCAGCCACTGTGCTTACATAGAGTGGGAGGCGATGGGGGAAGTATCCCTGGAACAGCTTATCATGTCTGGACAGAGAGCAGGAATCCACCCTGCACATCTCACTAAAGCTCTCATAGAAGAACTCTTTAATCCTTCTCAAAAGGTTTCTGGGGAGATCTGCCTTATTCCATTCTCCACAGTAGGATACCTTGCCAACCCAGTGGTTAGTGGTCTGACATAATTACAGTGCAAAGCATTGCCGCATAAAGTCCAGGTTTCTGGCCACATTCAGTCAGCATCTATTCCCTATCTCTCTGTCCGTCTGCTATGTACATTGGACAAACATCTCAGACACTTCGCCAAAGGATTAATGCCCACAAAACAGATATCAGACAAAATCACAAAGAGAAAACAGTTTCTTGCCACTTTAACCAGAAAGGACACTCTTCTCAATGACTTAGCCACCTGCATTCTGCTACAAAGACCTTTTACATCTGCACTTGAAAGGGAATCCTCTGAACTGTCATTCATGTTAAAATTTGACACTTTCCAACAAGGACTTAACAAACATTTGAACTATCTCACCCATTACCAAGATAGTTTCCCCAATTATCACCTCTAATACCATTAACTCACAAACATCCCACTCTCCCTACCTTTAATATCAGCAATTCACAGACACTTACCTTCCTTCCTCCCCCTTCCCACCCCCCCGCCTCCTCCTTCTGTTCTGCAATGTGATTTGTCCTTTTCATATTTGTTCTTTTTTTTAATTGTATCCTTTGGTATATATGGTTGTGACTACTTTCTTCCACTATTTGATCTGAGGAAGTGGGTCTGGCCCACGAAAGCTCATCATCTAATAAACCATCTTGTTAGTCTTTAAAGTGCTACATTGTCCTGCATTTTGCTTCAACTACCCCAGACTAACACGGCTACATTTCTATCACTATCTCTCTGTGTGATTCAGAGAAGACTGATATCTGGCATGGCAACCTTGATGAATCAGGGGAAGCTATTCGCTGATGCCTCTGCAGTAAACCTGCGTTGGCTCATCCCCAATGAAGCATGGATTGAGCTGCTGCCATTCCCAGACCCCTCCTGTGCACCTGCTCCAGTGGGAAGAGAAAGTTGCACTCTTGCAGCAAACGGGGCGGGGGGAAGAGATACCGAACACCCGGGCACCATTGTTCCCTCTAACATTTTCTATCTTTGGGTGGGTTGAAATTTCTTATGTGCATCACAAGTATTGAGGTAGTATATGGATGATGCACCATCAGTACAAACAAAAAGCCTAGAGGTGGAGATTAAAACAGTCGATAGGTGTGGAAGAAATATATGAAAATAAGGGATAGTTAACAAGGAGCAATGCTTACAATATTTATTTAATATGAAATCAAATAAAGAGAAAATTAATATTACCCTTGGAGTACATGTTTCATTATCCTTTCTAACAATTCAAATTAGTAAATACACCAGAATGAATATTAGCCACACATAGCACAGCTTAAGATGCTAAACAAATCTGTGAGTCAACTAGAAATAGTCATCCTCTCCTTGTAAGTACTAATACAATATTTACTAACACTGAAAAGGAGAGAAAAAGGCATTCACTCAGGCTAATGCAGTTTCTCTGGGGATTGTTACACGCTATACAAGAACAAGTTAAACAGAGACCTGTAAAAACATACTTTTTCCTGGTTTCCAACTTTCACCTTGTGTGTGTCGCCAACTTAAAGAGTAGAAACCCCAGAGCAAATTAACACATGGCTTCAGGGTTTGTAGGCAGATGCATGTTTCAAAGATCTTGCAAATAAGATTTTATCCTACAAATCAACTAGCATCACACCTAGTAGTTGCTACTTCTGATGCATAAGAGCCAGAATTCTACCACATAGCAAAGATCTGGCCTTAATGCAATACAATATACCATGTATTAATTAGTAACTCAGGATTGAAAAAAATCATTAAGATCAGAGTTTTAGATACCTGCAACACTCCGAAAAATTCTGTTAAAAGAATCTTTTTCTTTCTTACATTAAGCCATTAACACCGTTATAAACGTTGTTTGAAATGTAATTATGCAAACATCCTGGCACTCTCCCTCCCATGCAGCCTGCTTTCCTCCCCTGCCCGCAACCCAGCCAGCCAAAGAGGACTGCCACCTGGACTGCAGCAAGTGAGTCAGGACATCCCAAAGAAGCTCCCCACTGCCTCCACCTCACTGCACAGATGCCAGCACCCTCCCACCCCATTTTCCCCACCTACCCGTATGCAATTTGCTCCCTCCAGCCCAGCCAATGGGACTGGGATAAAATCCTTCTTCTCAGACTTGCAGGCACCAGCAGCCTAGCTGGGAGTTACAGGACATAGCACAAACTCTCCACCTTTCTCCACTTCTACCTCACCCTAATGCCAGCACTCGCTCACCCCTTATATCTCCCTCCTACCCCAGGTAGTCAGTCCCCCCCTCGCCTCCTTCCAGCCCAGGTGGCTTGAGAAGAGTACTGGGTTTCTGCCTTTCTCTGGGACTCCCTAAATTCTCCTTCCCTCCAGCCAGTTACTCCCTCCCTCTCTACCTCCTCTTCTCCCCAAACTCACCCACCTTACAGCTCTCCCCCAGACACTTATTCACTCCTTACCTGCTCTCTGAGCTCCTTCGTTGGAAGCAGGCAGCTCCGTTTGAAGCTGCTGAGCGAGATGCCCCTCCCCTAGCTGTACAGCTGAGCTCCCTGCCTGTGTGGGAGCTCTGAGACTGAGTGGGGCTCTTTAAACTGCTGTGTGACCGTGCAGCTTACAGGGAACTTGGGCACCATGTGAGCCCATGACCTGCAGCTACACCTGGAACTCCTCCCTCCTTCAGGCTTGTGCCTGGGCCTGTCCCTTATGCCTGCCACCAAACTGAACCCAGCTGTTCCCCTAAGAATTCTGAGGTGTACCAGCTGCATAGTGGCCACTTAAAAGCATAACAGTAGCCTTATACATAACACATCCCTGCTGTCTTTAGATAGGCCTTCCTTGTATTCTAGCAGATTAGGTTTTATGTTCTCTACAATGTCTCTCCTGTAAAGTGTGCCCTTTACTTTTTCCTTGCAGCGGAAACCGTAGTGATTCTGTTGCTCACTGCCCTGGCTCCACCAGCTATCTGGCACAAATCTGCAGGCGAAAATGAAGTACGGAGGCGATGTTTAAGGAGTAAATGCAATCCGTGTACTTGGACAGAGAGTGCTTAAGCGAGTAGAAGAATACACTGCAGGAGGAGATGTGAGCAGAGTGTGAGGACAGGAGAATGTGCAGGGTACTGGAAGTGAAGCACTAGGAGAGTCTTGTCGTCCATGGTGGATATGATGGATCTCATGCGGGTTTCCAGGATGCCTACATGTATAGACACCCCCTCCAGCTCTTGCAGATCAATGTTCCCTCCTCAGAGTTCCATCGCCTCCTGCCCTAAGGGCCTGGAATATGGGGCAGGGGAGGAATCAAGGGCAGCTCGAACTGAACCCCCAGAGATGTCACAAAGCAAAAGGCTGTCCTTCTCACAACTGTGATCACTCCCTCCCAAGCTCCCTCCACAAAATCCTTTTCTTTCTCTGCTGTGTTCCCTAAATAAAAATGCATGATTTCTGAACAACAGTCTCTTTATTGCTTGTGTTAAAGGGGTGGGAGGTTTGCAGGCAAGCATGCTGAATGTAGAAGCACGTCCTTGAGAGTAGTATGCATGACTCCAAACTGGGCCTTCATAAAATTCCTTCAGAGCCTTTGTGGTGTAGTGGGGGTGCTGTCTACTCGGTGACCTGGGGTCCCCCTGCACTGTGATGGGAGATTCTTACTGACTCTCCTAAATGTGTATTAACCCAGACACCCAGGCTCAGCCTCCCAGGGAGGGAGACAAAGGAAGGAGAGCGGAGACCAATACCTGATCTTTGTAAATTTGACCTTATCTTGTAGTATAGACATGGCCTTAAGAAGGCATATCATAGATGTCTATAAAATCATGGCTGGGGTGGGGAAAATAAATAAGGAAATGTAATTTACTTGCTTCTATAACACAAGAACTAGGGGTCACCAAATTAAATTAATAGGTGGCAGATTTGAAACAAACAAAAAGAAGCATCTTCAAACAATGCACGGTCAACCTGTGGAACTGCTTGCCAGAAGATGTTGTGAAAGCCAGGTTTTTAACAAGGTTAAAAATAATGAGCTTGATAAATTCAATGGCTATTAGCTAGGATGGGCAGGAAGTGTGTGGCTAGCTGCTGTCTTAGAATGTGTGATTGGGGTGGGGGCAGGGGCGAATCATTAGATGATTAATTGTTCTGTTCCTTCTCTCGGGGGCATCTGCCATTGGCCACTGTCACAAGACTGGGTCCTGGTCTGGATGGACCTTTGGTCTGACCCAGGATGGCTGTTCTTATGAGACCTGTCTCTGTCTGTCTCTCTCATCTGCTGAGACCAGTTCAGTTAAAGCAACATTGTAAACAGTTGTATAAGTTGACCCAAAACAACCTTTTAAGATGTATAAATGCCAGACTTTCCTTGTTAAATTATGCAGCTTGATTATATGATGTGAATTAAATTGGTATAATTATGTTTTAATCATGATTTTTCTTTCTTTGTTCATAGCTATCCAGTGCAAATCCTGTGTATGAGAAGTATTATCGACAGGTAGGGGATTTTATTTTCTTACTTTCAATTTCTAGTTCTGTTCAAAAACTTTTTGTTGCTAATGGATAGTCCTTTTAGAGATGAAGATGGAATATTTTTGTCAGACTTTGTAATGTGGGTTCATTATGGTGTTTTCTCTTTAGAGTTTCAAGGAAAATCACAGCAGTCTTAAAATGCTTGGTTAAAATGGTAGACCATGGGGCAAATCCCATTTAAACCTGTTTTGGTTCTGGGTCCTTGACCTTTTTTTTTTTTTTAATTGTAATAGTACCTTTAGGCACTATATTGGTGATTTAATGTTGGTACAGTGAAGTGTCTCAGGAGTGTTAAAAATCTGTACCCTAGAGAAACATAACTATACTGAGCTATAGGCCACTAGGTTGAGGGAAAAATTCTTCTCTCACCGTAGCTTTTGACTTTTGGTGAGAGAGATGACTTGCATTGATGGGATAATCTTTCCTGTTGTCGTAGCTACTGTCTGTACTGAAGAGCTCCAGTGGGGTATTGTACCGCCATAGCATTTTAATTGTAGACATATCCTAAGTGAGCTATAGGTTGAACTTGTTAAATATTACAGTTTAAATAGAATCTCAGTTAAATAGAGGAACACATTACCGGCAAGTTAACACATGTATTTCTCTTCATCTGGGGCATGTTCTTGCAAATTAACTTGAAATTGTTAGGTTATCAACTCCTCTGATCAGTTGTTGACTCTTCAAAATAGGAGCCATTTTGATTTATTGAATTATGTTTTGATATGAGTACATTAGAGGTTAAGATAAATTATTGCCATAATCTGGCAGAACTACTAGACACTTGTTAAGAAACTCAATCTTCAGTTTGCCCCAACTGCTGAGAGGAAGGTGAAAACTGATTGATTCCTATCAAGGTGCTGTCTTTGGATTTGCCTTAGGGGCCCAGTCTATTCTATTAGCCTCTGATTAGAAAGAATCTGATAAATTTTAAATCAAGTCCCCTTAGCAGCTGGAAAGGATCATCTTTCTACTTTCTCTGACCCCTGCCCTCTTTCCACGTTGGGGATGAGTCTCTACTAGATTTTTCCTCCAGACTCTGTATTTTGGGTCTAGGTGTCCAGTCCAGTTGATAGGAGCAAGGATGAACCCGGATGTCAAGTTTAAGGATATGATGATCACATCTCCCTTTCTCCTCTGTTGAGGGAGAAATCCAATGTGTGTACAGGTATCTGAGTTAAATTCTACTTATTAGGAGAATCTGAAATTAGTACCTTTAGTCTGGTGAACCTTTAGTCTGGCACCCTCGGGGCCAGAGAATTTGCTGGATCTCATGAGGTCAGTATTGTCTAGCAGTGTTATCAACTTGCTTACTAGGCTCTTGGAAGGCATTTGGGGTGAATTAGAGCTAAATAATGGCACAGAACACTGCGAGTCAGTACTGGTGGTGGTGGTAAACAAACTTTATGGGACCATGGGAAACTTAATCACATTCATAAGTGGACATCTGTCTAACTAAAATCATGCTGGGCCATGGATGTTGCCTGATTAGAGCGGTTTAACCTGTAGCAAGAATCTGCTGTGATGGGAGGCATGAGGCCCTGAGCAAGGCAAAAGAGTCATTGTCTGCATATGTTTTATATTAACCTGGGAACCTTATATTTTTATCTCTAAGTGCAACAACAGCTCAAGCAAGAATCTTAGAAGAGGTGAGCTTGGCAAGCAGGTGAAAAATGCTTGAATGGGTCTCCCTTTGAAGTGTGGACAACATTACATTTGAGGCTAGATGTAAACAGATTGATTCTTCACTTTTCCCAGTTCTTACATAGACAGTTCTAAATAACCTGACAGACTTACCGGTACTCCAGGACAGTCAGCCAGTGTTAATTGCAATCACGATTGAGTGTTTTATTTCTAAGCTCATTGATTATGATGATTTTCTTAATGAAGTGAAATGTCGGGAAACTGCTTAGTGTCCTGAATTTCAGAGACAGCTTTTTAGATGAAACCAGAGGAGCATACGTGAATATTGCTACTTTTTTGCCTAATGTGGAAGAATTGCCACAGAGTCCATTCAAAAGATTATAGTCGTCCAAGCTTGCATACCTGTGAAACAGATGCAGAGCAGCAAGTCAAACTACCTGATATTTACTGTGAGAGCTGGGCACATCTCCAGCACACACTCCCTTCTAATTCCTGTCCGAGTCATGTCTTATCAAACTCAACTGGAATATCTCTGGCATGATGTGGTTAGGACAAATATCTCCCATTAGAGAGATGTAACTTGGAAATTTACAAATTAGAAGTGATTTAAAAAAATGAAATCCATGAAGTGATGTCATTCAGGATAGTATCTAAGCAATGTTTCTGAGCTTCTAGTTGAATTTTTTTCTAGTTGAAATAGTATTCGCATTCCAAGTACTATTTTTCTACATTCTAATGATTTAAATCAAATGTATCTGTATCTCTTTAAATCTAAAAAAAATCCTTTTTAATATTACTGAAGATAGCTTTGATAACCATACTCTCAGGACGCTAAACATGAAAACAGTGAGAGCAAATCAGGGAAATGGTCAAAACACCTGAGCCATACAGCCGGTAATTCTCTGTAATCTAAATCTAAAACTAATTGAATGGAAAGCTTATTCTGAAATGAGCCTAACATCGGGGAACAAAAAAGTAACCTTGTCAGAATCCATTCAAATGACAGTCACCTGTCTTCACTCCTCAAAAAATGATCTTCCTAGAGGATAGAGTTGAAGATTTAAAAATAGACAATGCTGACTCAATATAACTCTGGGGTTTCCTTGAATAGTGGAAGAACATTGATCCACCAGCTCTTTTCTGAATGGATGCCAAAACTACATGAGGACCCACTGAGTATAAAATGAGGCTGTATTTGACACTACAGTTGCATTAGTTGCACATTGCAGAGAGCTCCTTATAACATACTAGTGGTTTTAAAGAGGGAGAGGGAAAAAAAAGACAACCATAAGCTTGCACAAGTATACCATCCCATTAAATCCCTGAATATTGAGCCCACTACTGTAAGAAATAAAAGTACTGATGATAAACTCAGGCGATATGTAGAGTTCTGGTAAAAACTTCATTCAACTTCAGACTTTCACTAAATCGCAAATTCACAGTAGTTGCTTCCAGCCTGTAAAATCTTGCTGAGTTTGCTAGAGAACAAAAATTACCACTAGAAGTGAAAATATGAACACATGAAGGTGAACCTGTTCCAATATATTTTCCAAATGGCATTTTTATCAAGGCTTTTGTCAGTGAATTCTATAAATGTCTTTAGGCGTGTGTAGTGCTCTGAATACCTCAAATGTTCTGTTAATCCCTTAAACAGGGAGAATTGTCCATTGGTTTTGCAAGACAATATCATCTCACCCTTGGCTTCAAAAGACAATCCAAAAGCCTGTAGATACTTATCAATCTAAGAAAGAACATATTAGAGAAAATTCAATAGTGTGCTTCAAAATGCTTATCTCTAGCATAACTTCTCATTAACCGTTGTCAATTTATTCCCTGGAGAACTACAAATCGTAATATTTTGTGAAAATTACACTTGACTGATCAACTCAACAGATTAAAAAGAACCTGGTTGGGATTAGTAAATGCCCTTTCTGCCTCTGGAATTAATGTTTTAAAGTATTGGCCAAATTAATTTAGGATATTAATTTAATTCCATCACACAGCATTCTTTTCCATTTTCATTATTTTGCTTGATCAGCTTCTGATCAATCTTGGACTTTAAAGAGGGGCTGAAAGCAAAAGTGTCCTCATTTTATTTTTCTCTATCCTTTATATTGCTTGTAATAGCTGTCAAATCCTTCAGAATTTCAGGGCATTACAATCTATGATAAACATAATGAGTTTGTTTTTGTAGACGATTACATGTGAAATGCAGGATTACATTTGATCCTTTACAGAAACAGTGAAGGCCAGTACAGTATACTGTCTGGTGTATCTGTAAATATGATGAAGTTGAGAGCTTGTTTTTTCTTAGTGATCTTCTGATGGATTGAAATCTGGGAAGATGGTGCATACAAATTTTGCCTACGATAACTAAAGCAATCATGCTAAATAAGTTTTTATGTGGCTTTACTTTAAGATTTTCCATTACTAACTTAAGCTGAGTCAGCTTGATAAAATGAAAGACTTTCTTGAAATCCTCCCTGTACTTCTTCTTACTTGGTATAAAAGAGCTAGCTAAAATTGTTGAGCTGTCTAGAGTAGCTCATGAGCATGAGATCTAACCTCAAGGCAGAATGTCAAGAAACAAAGTCCAAACCTCAAACTGATTGTATGTTCTATAATTAAATTTCACCAACCAGATAACAAGTGTGAACGTCTAAAGCACTCTGACAATTTTAACATGAAACCACAGACAATTTCTTTGGTCTCTCTTGTATAGCTTGCCACCCAGGCAAGTTTGCCTTTGTAGCAGATGGTCCATTTCACCAAAAAACCACAATAATAGTCATGCTACTCCCAGTACCAGAGGATCTGTCCATTACTCCACATTAGTTTACTCTTAGATCTGTTACCAAAGATAATGTTTGAAGCCAGTCCTGTGATTAAACTAACTACAAAAGATAATAGAAGCTCTTGTAATATGTAAACTCTTCAGGGCTAAGCAACTAAGGGATCCTTTGGTTATGATTGGAAATGTGCCATCTCCAAATTCCAGGCAGTATAATGTTAATTTCTCCTTGACACAGATTTTTATGCATTCCCCCACTGTTCAGGCAATTATAGGATGAGTGCTTTTGTACATATCTGCTTCATGGATGTGGGGAAGCAATCAATGCAGTCTTTTGTTCACTGATGCTTTACTATGATTTTATTTGTGTCAATATATGCCGCCTTTTTCCGGGGAGTAGATGAGACCTCTTGTGGCAAACTAATATTTTACGTTTGGTAATGCTTCTTACGTGACTGAAGTTTTACGGTTTTTAGCAAACATTTTTGTGCTTCAAGAACAAATCCTTAATGTACCCCTTGTTATCTGTATATGTATTTTAGAGAGTGTCTGCCCGTTTGTTCAAGAACTCCTCCTCATAAGAGCTATGACTATGAAATTTGATATGCAGCTTCCTCTTACCCTAACTTAAACCAAGGTCAGGGTTTGATTGTGCTTGGAAAATGGAAAGTTCTGGGAATGGGACTATTTCCCGTAACATGGAAAGGGAGGGGACAGAGAGAGGAAGAACGTGAAAGGGAGGGGCACAGAGAGGAGGGACGTGATACTGAGAGCAGCTACTGGTGGTATCTGCCGCGCCAAGAAAATGGCCAGAAGGGCTTGGATTCTGCCTTCTTGCCTGCCAACACACTGGTAAGGAGCCCCCCACCTCAAACCTGGAGCCTGTCCCCACACTCCATCATGGAGAGACCTCAGGGCATGGGGAGGGCGCTGAAGGTGAGGGCATCCCCACAGCCTGGCTCCTCTACAGGCAGCCTGTAGGCCACAGGGGAATATATGCGGGTGGGGGTTAGATGAAGGGGGAAAGTCCCCCGAGCCTCAACCCCCAACAAACTATAGGCTGGTGGCTGCAGGCTGCCGCAGTGTTGCTGCATGAGAGGGCCTCGCTTCTTCCCGATAGGCTGTGGGGGAGGACAGTTGTGGGGCTTGCTGGCAGGGGAGTGCTGCCACGGCCCCCCGGGACGGAAGGAGTTGCCACCAGAGCAGTGCTGCCCTTGCTGTCATGGGTGGCCCTGGTAAGCCCTCCCCATTTCCCAGCTCTGACTCCTACCTGCCTTGACTTTTTAGCATCCCCTCCTTCTATCCTGAGCCCTCCCCATATCTCCCAAACGTCTGCCACTCTGCCTCTCCTCACCCTTGATCTCTCACGCCTGCCTTCATTTTTGAAATATCATTGAAATAATACATTTTCGTTTATTTTTCCTAAAAAACCTCACCTCTTCCGTTATAGACCAGAGCAAGGCTGAATACATCTGCTAGTAATATTTATAAGGTGAAATACATGCAGACCTCTAGAAACATTTCATGAAATCTAAACACATTCCTATAATTCTGATGTTATTTTTAACAATACTAACACACAGGTGACCCAGATTTTATTTTATTTTATTTTATTTTATTTTATTTAAATATTTTTACCCTGCCTCTCTATTTAAAATATTCAAGGCGACTTATAAAAAAATGTTTAAACACAATACAAATATATATAAAAATTTAAAATATAAGACTCCAGAGGGACATAAAATGTGCTAAAAACATATAGAGAAGAGAAACACACACATACAGACTCAAACATTAATAAAAGCACGAGTAAAAAGGGTGGCTTTAGCCTGACACCGAAACAATGTTAGTGTTAGTGCCATGTGAATATCCCGAGGAAGAGAATTCCACAGTCTGGGAACAAAAGCTGAGAAGGCCCTGTTCTGCACAAATGTTAATCTTATCTCCACAAGTGGGGGAACATGAAGCAAAGCCTCCCCAGCTGACCTCAATCTCTGGGCAGGTTCATATGGGAGAAGACGGTCCTTCAGATACCCCGGACCCAACTCTTTTAAGGCTTTATCGATGGTAACTAAAACCTTAAAGTGTGCCCAGAAACATACTAGAAGCCAGTGCAGCTGCTGAAGCACTGGCATAATGTGCTCTATATAACGAGTATTAGTTAAGACTCGAGCAGTCTTAAGATTCTGGACCAGTTGACGTTTCCGAAGGTTCTTTAGAGGCAGCCCCATATAAAGTGCATTACACTAATCCTGTTGGGATGTAACAAGAGCGTGGATCGCTGTTGCCAATTCATGCTTGTTCAGGAAGGGTCGCAGCTGGTGGATCAAACGAAGCTGCCCAAAAGCACTTCTGTTTGTCATTGTTCAGTGAAGCCCCTGGGCCTTGTCATAAGGTGGCATCTTGTCTGCCAGCCTCAAAAAAACAGGTACGATCAAAAGAACATCAGTAATTGTCTTGTCAAAGACCAAAACAAAGGAGATATTAATCTCTCCCTCTTGAATTTTTGTAGCTAGGCCGCTATAATTTCATGTAGTTGGTACTTTACAGACACTCAAAGCTTGCAGTTTATCCTTTTCCATCTGATATTTGGCTATGAACGTTTTGTTCCCTCGGGAGATGAGGTCACATCCAGTCCTAGGTACCGCTCTGTAAATGTGGGAAAATGCAATCTTGTACCTAAGTGCCTTGCCAACATTATCATTGACTTCCTGGATATGCCGTTTCCTTCAGGACAGGAAAAGTTGACATTGCAGACTTTTCCAGGGCATATTAGTAATGAACTCTGAACTACTCCATTAAGCTTAACCTACCTCCTGAGGATTTTGGTATGTACATATAAGTCTGATGCTTTGAAGGCATGGTTACTAAAGGAATTACTAAAGGAGAAAATCTGCAATTGGGAAGAACTGATTGGAAGAGAATCATGTGGTGGTCTCATCCAGATAAGATCTTTATTGTACATTGATTTATTTGAGTATTGCTCAGATGTATACTTGAAATCCTGTACCTTTTGTTGAAGACCTTAAAACTCAAGTGTAATTAAAGGTTGAAAAATCTTGAATGCTACTCCTGGCAGACCACAGATGTTGCTGGACCAGAGAGTTCTGGATTAGAGAGGTTCAACCTGTATTAAATAGATACATTTCTGTATGTTTATAAATAAAAAATAATGTAAAAATATTTAATTCCCTTGCATTAACTCCTGAGTACAAAGTGTGGATAATATTTTATAGTTAGGTTAAGTTTAAGAAAAATAGTGAATTCATTCTAGCACCCGCTTTAAAATGCATCTGTTCTAATGTAAAATGCATTTATTTTGAAAGGAAGCTGTTAAAATACACCGAAGAGAATTTAGTTGCTTTAGAATTCAAAAGAGAGGAGGGGGGCCATTCTTCTCTGGTAGCCTGCTGATTAAGAATGTGTATTTTGCAGCAGTTCTGGGTACTAATCAGTGGTGGTATCTTTCACAGGTTGATTCTAGTAACACTGGAAGAGTGGTGGCTTCTGATGCTGCTGCTTTCTTGAAAAAATCTGGGCTGACAGACTTGATACTTGGAAAGGTATTAATTATTTAATGAGTAATATTATGCCTTTAATTATGCTGTCTATTCCTGTTACAGTTTCCTTTCAGAAATACTATACATGTGTGTACAAAATGCTAGTATACAATATGTAATTTTACTTTTATATATTGCACCTTTCATACAAAATACTTCAAAATCAGTGAACCTTACAACCTCAGTGGATAAATAATATTGTACTTACTGTGCAAGTTTATGCTATGAGGATTAGGGTTTGATCCTATAAATACTGAGTACTTGAGTCATCATTGAGGTGCTTTGCTCTTCATATTAAGTATATATTTGGCCACATAGCCAATAAGTGACAGAACTCAGATACAGAACTCACAAAGTCTTTATTGTAAATGGTATAAAATACTTATTCTAAGGACATTTATGGTCATCTGGAACTCTACCTAACATTTTATACATGATGATAAAACTATATTATAACCTTTTTTTAGGTAAGTTATGCAGGCACTTGAGTTATAAAATATGACTGTTTCTTTTCCTTTAGCTATAACTGATCAAGTTTCTATAATACATGGAAAAATAAGGACAGAGTAGTGACCGTAATTCCATGATTTCTAAACTGTTGACAGATTTGTATTTATCCTAAATGTTGTCTGGTGGATTGAGTAAATAAAGTGAACTGTGAGTTTGTTTAAATATTTAATATATAGACTATACATTTTTACAAATCTGTTATATTTATATTTTAAAATATTGAGCTCGGTGGTCTTTCAAAGAATATGGAATAAGGAGGAGGTTAGTTAAACAGAAATGAAAAGGCACAATGACTAGAGCCAAATCCCTGCAAGCTGCATGGAAACTTTTTAATGACCCCATAATAGAGGCCCAACTTAAATGTATACCCCAAATTAAAAAACATAGCAAGAGACCTAAAAAAGAGTCACCGTGGCTTAACCACCATGTAAAAGAAGCAGTGAGGAACAAAAAGGCATATTTTAAGAAGTGGAAGTCCAATCCTAGTGAGATAAATAGAAAGGAACATAAACAATGTCAAATCAAGTGTAAACATGTAATAAGAAAAGCAAAAAAAGATTTTGAGGAACAGCTAGCCAAAAACTCAAAAAGAAATAAAATGTTTTTTAAGTACATTAGAAGCAGGAAGCCTGCTAAAAAACCTGTGGGTCCCCTAGATGATCGAGCTATAAAAGGAGCAATCAAGGACGATAAAGCCATTGCGGAGAAACTAAATGATTTCTTTGCTTCAGTCTTCACGGCTGAGGACATTGGGGAGATTCCTGAATCTGCACCGTCCTTTGTGGGTGATGAATCTGAGGAACTGTCCCGGATTGAAGTGTCATTAGAGGAGGTTTTGGAACAAATAGAAAAACTTAACGTTAACAAATCTCCGGGACCGGATGGCATTCATCCAAGGGTTCTAAAAGAACTCAAATGGGAAATTGCTGAACTATTTCTGTGGTTTGTAACCTATTCTTTAAATCGGCTTCCGTACCTAATGACTAGAAGGTAGCCAACGTGACACCAATATTTAAAAAGGGCTCTACAGGTGATCCTGGCAATTACAGACCAGTAAGTCTAACTTCAGTACCGGGCAAATTAGTCGAAACAATAGAAAAGAATAAAATTGTGAAGCATGTAGAAGAACATAATTTGTTGGACAAAAGTCAACATGGTTCCTGTAAAGGGAAATCCTGTCTTACTAATCTATTAGAGTTCTTTGAAGGGGTTAACAAACATGCGGACAAGGGGGATCCAGTAGATATAGTATACTTGGATTTTCAGAAAGCCTTTGACAAGGTCCCTCACCAAAGGCTCTTGTGTAAATTACATGGCCATGGGATAAGAGGGAAGGTCCTTTCTTGGATTGAGAACTGGCTAAAAGACAGGAAACAAAGGATAGGAATAAATGGTAAATTTTCAGATTGGAAAGGGGTAACTAGTGGTGTACCCCAAGGGTCAGTCCTGGGACCAATCCTTTTCAACTTATTCATAAATGATCTAGAGAAAGGGGT